AGAAGTGGGCTATCACACTGTGGTATTAGCTAACGGGATCCAGTTAAATAGTAAAAAAGACAAGCACAAATAAAATGACCAAAAATTGCTAATTTTTGGAAGGCCGTAGCGCTCGCTGTCATTTTGCAATGCACGAAATATCTACATGGTTGTACTGGGCAAAACCTGTAGATGTGAAAAAATGTAAACATTGTGTAGGTCTGAGGTCTTTTTGCTGCACTATAGGCAGTTGTTTACACCCATGCAACGGGGTCAAATCGTGACCCGGCAAACGCCGTATCTTAGAGAATAACGCGTTCTACGGTGACCTGCGGTTCGACTGATGTTGGCTTGACCTGAGATGACCCCAGAGTCAGCTGACGCCCACATGTGGGGGAGGTGGTCTGGGCTGTGGCGGAACAACTTTCGCTGCACGAGAAACAACTTTCACTACCTGAGAAGGTCAAGTTCGGGACAGATCTCAGACCACAGGGGTCACGAGGTAAGGCTGGCGGCCGCCAAGGTCATGTGTGAGACGTTTGGTAGCCAGTGTAACTTCGGTGCGAGACACCGGCGTGGTTTTCGTAGTGTTTACCAACAAATCACCCACTCACTAACAATTGGAACAAAGCATAATGTTTAAATCTTCGACTCGGAACACGGGAAAAGTTATACTTATATTCATGAGTTAACCCTAAGCGTCTACCAGGCTTCGGGAGGCGGCTGGAAAGAGTAGAAATCGGCCAAATAGGGAGATAGCATGCGGGGGGGGGGGCGTACTGGAGTCAGTTTGCCGCACCCGAAGCCTCTACAATAAAACCAAGGAGGTTTACACCTTGATAATACATGTTTCCCCCATACATCCAGCCATAACCTAAGGTTGAACACACAAATTTGTGATTCTGGGCTGATTTTTAGAGACCGCAGTTTAGCAGCTACAGTACCTGCCCTACGTGACCTCAGGTCATGACCTCCCGTGCCCAGGTCACCAGGTGATGTCACCCCAGGCTGTAATGGCTGCCCGTTGCCATGGCAACACGTGAGAAGACATCATCACTGTCTGCCCACCCGCCAATCAAACTCTGGTCTCCCAGCAACGTGATGCAATCATCTCACGGTCACCATGGTGACAGATTGCTACATGAAAGGGCAGGAGGTAATTTGAGATGGCTGAGGGGGGGGTCTGCTAATTGACCAATTCAGGTGCTTGGCCTCTTCAAAACCATAACCTGTTACACATCAGTTGGGACATTCTTGTCAGATAAATGATCAAATACAAACTGATGCTCATGCTGAATTTGCAAGGAGCTGGAAAAAAATGAAAGAAAGCATATTTTGTAGCTTTTTAGATTCTTGAAATAAATTCTAGAACAATGCAGGTATTTATAATTATATGAAATCAGATGGTCACCCTATCAATTTTGTTTGTACAGAAATATTATACAGTCTGGATTCTTTTCTCAGTGCATTTTGTTCTGGTTTGTCATGAAAACTGCTTTGTCATTCTATATATGTATCACTTCGACAGCAAATATAACACTGCCTTTAAAACTGCCCTATGTAAGGAATATGCCAGCTTATCCTGTCCTGATTATGTACAATAAGCCCACACATTGTATGTTAGTGCTGTGGTGTGCCTGTTGGGTTGGGCAAAAATGTACAGCAGGATTGGTACATGTAGGTTGCACATGTGTTAGTTTGTGTGAGTTTGTGCGAGTTGATGTGATACAGATGCCAGTGTTAAAAAGGCCCACACAACCTGCATGTACCAGTACAGTCTATAGGTGCTCTATAGAACTGAACAGGTGGTTCTGGTTTGCTGCAGGATCTGAGCTGTAAAAACTGTGGACTGCAGGAAATGGTGACGTTTGTTTAGTTCAGTTTGCTGTGTGTGGAGAGGGCGTGTGTACCAGACTAAGTACATGTGTTTTAGTTTTACTCAGAGATCATCTGTGTGTTGTGTGTGAGGAGGTATTATGCTTTGGGAAAATCTGTACTGCAGTACAGCACTGTGTATTCAGTTTTGGGAAAACAGTGCTGTATTTTGTTGGAGAAGTGTGTTTGTGTTACTGAGTAAGAGAGAATCTGACTGCTACAGTCCTCTTTTTTTTTTTTTGATTTTGAGATCTATCAGCCTCAAAAAAAGGGTCAGCTGTCCATACATTGTTGTACTTCAGTCTGAAATCCATTTTCAATTTAATTTCTGAGTTGGTGTTTGCAACAGTTGACTGTTTCCATATTTTGAGATGTAGCAGTTATCATCTTTAGGAAAAAGGTAAAAATATGCGTGCATCACTCTGAGGTTTTGTTGACGTGTCTTTTCTGTGTGCTTTCTTGCAGGGTAACAAGATGCCAAAAGAAGGGAGAGGAAGCGCTTCCCCCCCACCCAGGGACCACACAACCCCCACCCCCGCCAGCGCAGACCCCA